TTCTCCACAAAGACATATTTCTTTTAAATCATCCAATTCAGGGTGGAAAACTTTCATGAATTCTTATATGCATGATAGAAAATGAATGATGGGGGGAAGAAACAAGAAAAAGAGAAATGTCATTTTCACAGGAGCAATTTAAAAATTTAACTGTTGGTTGTCTTGTATTATACATCATTTGTTTGTCTGGCCTACCTAACCAGCTTGGAAGCCTTTAGAAGGCTGGATCATACCCTCATATATTTGTTTGTATTCTTCCTGGTAAAGGTCAATCTGAGTATATTGCTGGAACTTAAAATATTTTTTAAGCTACCATATATTGATGCACTGTGCTAAGCACGAAAAAAATTATCTAGTTTAATAATCACAAAAAAGAATTTTTAACTGCTCTAGTAAACGTTTACAGATGAAGAAACGGGGTTAGAGAGGTTAAGTAAGTTGCTTAAAGTCACATTACAGTAATTAGAAAAACTGAGACTCAATGTCTCATCATTCTGATTCCAAAAACCTAAACTTTCAACCACTTTGCTGCACTGCCTTCATTACACAAAAATCTATCCTCTCTCCCTCCTGACCTGCTAGCCATGATATTTCACATTGGTTTGTACCTTTCTTGATCCTTTACATCTGATCTCTTCAATCTTGGACGTTTTGTTTCAAGGTTCATTTGCATTTCTATATAAAACCTTAGAAAGAAAAAAAGTAAGGTTTTTTTTTTTTTTATGAGGAATTAGCATGTACATATACTAAAAACAGATCTATGTTAAGACCTTGCTGTGTGCCAGTGAGTGCCTTATTTCATTCTTCAATAATTAGGTGCTATCATGACCCTCCTATTTTAGATGAGAAAAACTGAGGCACAAAGATGGTTAATTAATTTTCCCAAGGTCATAGAGTTTATCAGAGGCAGAAATTGCCTAACTTTAAGGGCACTTTTCTTAACTACAGGGATAAAATACCTGAAGCCAATAGAATTATCCTAATGATAGAAGCTACCTAAATATGGAACATGACCTGCAAGTTCTTTGGACTGAATGATAGAACTGGTTTTTATTTCACTTTTAAAAATTATCCTGATATATGCTAGTACAACCTTTCATCTGTGTGTTTTAGCCCGGTAATCTGTTCAGGGGTTCTGACTGACAAGAACACATTCTTAGATGTGATCACCAGGGAATGAATGTGTTCTGTAAACTGTGGAAAGAAACAGTTTATACTAGTTAACCTCATTTAATTGATTTGTTAGTAAAGTGATGATATTCCAAAGTGAGTTGGATGAGAATCTGACTGAAGAAAAGAATTACGTAGACATCTAGTCTCTCATATCACTATTCTTCAATTCCTTCTTTCCTTCCCTCTCTTCTCTCCATTCTTCACTCTCTCCCTCCCTCCTTCCCTTTCTCTCTCACTCTCGTCTTTCCTTTATTTTTCCATTATTTTTATGAGAAAGAGTGATCTGGCCATAACTCAAGTATGCAATCCAAATATAAATGGAAGTAAGAAATAGATCTGGAATACTTTGAATGTATGTGGAAGAAGGGCTCCCCTCCCCTATTCCCAGCACAAAGTGTGACAATCTCCTTCCCATATTAGTCCTCTCTGTTGCTATATATCACTCTCTCAGAGCATCTTTTTTAGAGTAAGGCATTTGTCTTAGAAACCCATGTAAAATTATAATTATGCTACTTGGGAGGGATACTAAATTATCGATTATTGTCCATTAACATCTTTGCTTTCTGATCAGTTGATCAAACTGGCTGTAGTAGGAAACAGGGTTGTGAAGAATAGTTCACCCAACTATTATCTCCCCTGCTGCTCATACTGTGGCCTGAGGACCAGCAGCATCAGCACCACCTGGGAGCTTGTTAGAAATGCTGAATCTCAGGCCCCATCTGAGACCTGCCGAGGCAGAGTCTGCACTTTAACAAGGGAGACTTGTTGCTGCGGACCATTTTTCTCCCTTTCAAGATTGAGATCATTTGTACTTAGTTTCAGTCTTTCATGAGTGTCCCTTGAAATGTTAACTACAGTCCATTTATAAAAATTCTAAGGTCAAACTAGTTTGGAAAGCACTGTTGAATAAAGTTAGGCAAATTTCTTTAATGTAGAT